CTGGAATTAAGACAAACTATCCACTTTTCAGAGCATGGCAGCTGCCAGGGGGTCACAGGCCCCAGAGGCTGGAGACCAACCTGCTCCCCGGCAGGGCCGCCCGACAAGCCCCCACACCGGCCATCAAGCTGCAGCAAACATGCCCCACACCTCTCCGATCCCAAAGAAACTCCAAATAACAGATTCCATGACACACCACAGCCACCTTTGCCTGGAGGCTGGCTCGGTGGGTCTCCACAGTTACCCCCAGTACCAGCAGGACACGGCTCCACGCGCAGAGGGGACCAGGGCAGCCCCACTGCCCCGCTGGCAGCACCTCCCCACTGGGGATGCCTGCTCCGCAGAGAATGGCCAGGAGAGCTGCATTTCCTCCTAGGAGCTGGCATGGGGCTGTGCTGTGGATTTGTGCTGCAGTGGCAGTAACACAGGGGTGTGTTGGTCCCTGCTGAGCAGCACTTGCCCACCACTAATGGCTGTTCTCCTCATCACAGAATCACAGATTCACAGAATATTAGGGGTTGGAAGGGACCTTCGAAGATCATCAAGTCCAACCCGCCTGTCCAGAGCAGGACCAAAAAAAACCTAGGACAGGTCACTAAAAAAGGCATCCAGACAGGTCTTGAAAGTCTCCAGCGAAGGAGACTCCACAGCCTCTCTGGGCAGCCTGTCCCAGGGCTCTGTCACCCTCACAGGAAAGAAGTTCTTCCTCATGTTGAGGTGGAACTTCCTGGGCTTGAGTTTGAATCCATTGCCCCTTGTCCTATCACAGGGCACAAGTGACGAGAGGTTGTCCTGCCTTCTTGATGCCCAGCCCTCATGTATTTATAGACATTAATTAAATCCCCCCTTAGTCTTCTCTCTAGACTGAAAAGCCTCAGGTCTCTCAGTCTTTCCTCATCAGGCAGGTGTTCAGTCCCTTCATCATTCCTGTAGCCTCCGTTGGACTCTCTCCAGTAGATCCCTGTCCCTCTGGAACTGGGGATCCCAGAACTGGACAGAATGCTCCAAGTGAGGTCTCACCAGGGCCGAGTAGAGGGGGAGGAGAACCTCCCTCCATCTGCTGGAGACACTCCTCTTAATACACCCCCAAGACACCACTGGCCTTCTTGGCCACAAGGGCACATTGTTGTCCCATGGATAACATGTTGTCTGCCAGGACTCCAAGGTCCTTCTTCACGGAGCTGCTCTCTAGCAGATCACCTCCTAGCCTGCACTGGTGCATTTTTTTGTTCCTTCCCAGGTGCAGGACTCTGCACTTGCTCTTGTTGAATCTCATTAGGTTCTCATCTGCCCCGCAGAGAGCAGGCTGGGGGACAGAGTTGGGACAGCTGATCCCAGAGTTCTGTCCACCAAGTTGATGCTTCCTTGTTGCTTCATCACCTTGGGTCTGGTCACAGCCCCTGCCTGCTCCACCCCAGCCCCGCTCCAGGGCTGCTGTTCCTCTGGAAATTGCAGTTTGCAGCAGGAGAGGATCCACTGCTGGTGCTTCTGGCTCTGCACTAGTGTCAGTCATTTACCACAACAGTGGCACATGTGCTCCTAATAATCACTTTAAGTGTGTTTTAACTGCCTTGTTTCTTTCCCCTTCCAGGTGGTCATGTCCCAGGTCTCTCAGCACCACACTGTCCTCTGTGGACATTCTGATAAATGCCAATATTTTTCTGCATGGATTTCCATTCATTAGCACACTGGGATTGCCCTTTTCTAACATGCACATTTTACAGTCCCATTTCTAAATGGTCTATTGCAATTCAGTAGGAAAAATATCTACAAGAAATGTCACTGCCTGCCTGTCCCAAGAGGCACAAGGGATGGAGAATGATTGACTGACTTTACCAAGTCACTTTGTTATTGCTAGAAACACAACAAATCAGTTTCCCTACTTCTGGTCCACTGGCACTCAAAAGAAGGCTTTTGGGTTTTTTTGTCTCTTTTAATTACAGTTAATAATCATGCTTCAAGGTCATAAAAAAAATAGTGTATGCTGCCCCTAAAAGTCTGACTCAACATTTTCCTACTTCACTCTCATTCCAATGAGACCATTAGCCACGGGGCCTGAAGATTCTGCACATGCCACAGCCTCAGGAACAGTCCCACCGTCCTGTCAGACCTGAAGCTCCTTCACAGCCCTTTACATTATCACATCTGGTAATTTAATGGGAGCTGCCCACGTCACTCTGTCCCCTCTCTCCTGCCCATGTCGCTCCGTCCCCTCCCTCCTGCCCCTGCTACCCTGACAGCTCCACCGCGCTCCCTGCCCCACAGCCAGCAGTGGCAGAGCTGCCCTCGGGCTCTGGGAAAACACCAACACCCCTCAGCACCCTCTGGAGAGCATGAGGACCTGAGGAAATGCTCCTCAACATCCTCTGGAAAGAAGCAAGGGGAGAGGAGATGCAGGGTCTTGCTCAGATTACGTCTTTTATCAGCAAGGAATGGTTTTTAGAAACAATGTGAAGGGGATTTGTTTCTTAAGAAGAAATTAAAGCACGGAGATTAAGTGAATATTGAATGAAGTGCAGTTATGGCTCCTACACACTTGCAGGGGGAGTCCTCAGACGCTGCTGCTGGGGTGTTCCTGTTCCAGCCCTCCCTCCAGCAGGCACGGTCCCCACTGGCAAACTGGCAAGGCTTGGGAGGACCGTGATTCACACTTCCTGGCGCCAGGAAGATAATGAGAGCTTTCCAGATCTGCTGCCTGCATATTCTTATGCCACCAGACAGAAGCCTTCTGACTTTAATCTTTGTGAGTCAAACCTGAACCCAATCAGCATTTTGTTCCTTGTTTCTGCAGCTCTGCAAATCAAAGACAGAGGAGCTGCTGCTTATGAACCACAGACAGAAGACCTGCTTCTTCCCACAAAAATTATTTTTACCTTTAGAGTAGGTCGAGCCCTTTGGGAGAAGGCTTTCTTCCCTTCTGCTTTATGCCTGTGGCTCCACCCAGCTCAACCCTTGCTATTGTACCTCTTAACTGAAAATTTACGACCCTTGCCAGCCTGTCTCTTGCCAAGCAGATATGGAGTAAAGCAGCACCCTGCAGACCCATGGCACTTGCCACGCACAAGCATCCTGTGCCCAGCAGCAACGTGGGCTGCCCGGTGCCCAAGGAGGAGGCACAGCCCTGGGCACCTCCTGTACATGTCTGGGGCTGCCAGGTGCCCAAGGAGGAAGCACAGCACAGCCCTGGGCACCTCTTGTCCATGTCTCAGAGCCAAAAAGACAAGAGTGGCTGAGCAGGGTGAAGGCAGACAACAGCACATGTCTTGTCAGAGGCAAAAGGGAAGCAGGGAAGAGGCTGCCCAGCCCTGGGGGCAGTGGTCACTCTGCACCAGGGGTTTCTGAGGGAGCTCACAACACACAGCAACCAGGGAGCCCTGGGGTCTCAGCCAGCCCTATGTCCACCCTCAACAAGAACCCCCAAAGCCTGCACAGCCCTCCCCAGTGCCGTGCCCTCCACACACTGGCCATCCCCATCTCTGCATCACTGCTCCCTGCCGCAGCCCTTCTCCACAGACTGTCCCAGAAAATGAGTTTGATGGGGACCACAGGTGTCCCCATGCCATCCAGCAGCTCCAGTGCTGCCCAGTGTGTTACAGCCACCCAGCTGTGCAATGGCCACCATGCTGCCAGGCCACCTTCCTCCTCCTGTCTTGCCATTCCCATGTGCCACTGGCCCCAGCCCCACAGGAACCACTGAAGTCCCCACAGGGCCACTTGTCATCTCAAAGCACAATGACTAGTGGCAGCAGAAATCTCTGGATGTTTACAAATATGTAAGGGGTGAGTGTCAGGGGGACGGAGTTAGGCTTTTCTCAGTGATGACCAATGATAGGACAAGGGGTAATGGGTGTAAATTGGAGCATAGGAGGTTCAAGGTGAATATCCGAAAAAATATTTTTACTGTAAGAGTGACAGAGCACTGGAACAGGCTGCCCAGGGAGGTTGTGGAGTCTCCCTCACTGGAGACATTCAAAACCCACCTGGATGAGTTCCTGTGTGATGTACTCTAGGTGACCCTGCTCTGGCAGGGGGGTTGGACTAGATGATCTCTCGAGGTCCCTTACAGCCCCTAAGATTCTATGATTCTATGATTCTATGGTTCCTGACCTCTCCACAGCCAGTGTTCTTAATTTCTTAGGCAAGGAGTGACATTATGGGACCACTACAGCTGTTCAGGGGAAGAGCAATGTGAGACACATCCAGCCAACATGTCCCTAAGGTTTGGTTACTCTTACCACCCCTGTGTCAACTGTGGCAGCTGGGGTGTCCCTGGGCACAGAGCCCAGTGGTTTTGGTGGGGTGTCTCTCCTCCCAAGATACACCCATGCATGCAGAAGCACCATTCCTGCCACCCTCCCTGCTCTCCAAACAGCCAGATGCCTGTTCCATTAATTGTGACTCGGGCCTTGGTCACTGCCCACGGTGACACATGGGGGCTGCAGTAGACCAAGAGCTATTTCCACTTCACATGTGCATCCTGCCAGCAAGATCCTGACCCAAATGCACAGGGTGAAGGCAGAGACAAAGCAAGGAGCCCGCGTGCCTGGCAGAGGCGTGCTGCAGCCTCTGGCTGGAGAGGGAAGGCGTGCTCCTCAATGCACACCATTGTGCTCTGCAGGCACGTAGGGACTCCTCCATGCCAGAGAAGAAAGCTTCTCTTCAGCTGGTCCATCATGTGTTCTTCTGCCTCCCTGCCCCATGGGTAGCTGACCCCAGAGCCTCCTCCATCCACACACCCACCTGCCAGCGCATGTGAGCAGCTGAAGTCCACTCCTGTGTGGGCACCTCCCATGTCCCAGGGGGTCATTCAGCTTGCACCCCCACCCAAACCATCCCAGGCCTTTGCGAGCATCACCCATTTCTCATGACTGCTTTGCCATATGGCAAGCAGGGAAGACTGAAACATCCCAACACAGGGTGTAATCCCCTCTGTGACAGCCACCATCAGTGCTGAACACGCAGCCCGGGCGTTGGGTTTGCCAGCCAGACTCCAGCCTTACCTTTGTGTGGAGCTTGGCAAACTGCTTGTCATCCAGCAAGGTCTGGGTGTACACACGCCTTTTGTACCGGAACTGCAAGAGGAAGAATGTCAGATATGAGATGAACAAAACCCACCCAGCACCAAACTGCTCTCGAGCAGCTCCTGCAAACACCATCCTGTGTTAAGACATTCAGTCTAGATCTGAGAACAACACCACGCACACAATACACTGCTCTCCTTCACCATTTGCTCTAAGAGTTAATTGCTTTCCTCACAAAAGAAATTCTGACCAGTTTTTCATATGAACCTGTCTGGTTTTAGCTTTCAGACAGTCTGGGTTTTGTTATGCTTCCTCTCAATTAATTAGGGGCCTCTACCACACAATGGTCTTCCCCAGGAGAGACCCAGGATGGGTCTCTCTCAGGTGCTCTAGAGCTGACTTCCCTGTACGCATTGTGAGCTCTAAAGCTCTTACTGAGTGATCTTCTCTTCTGTCCTCAGACCATTTCTGCTGCTCTTTCCTGTGTCATTCCTCTTTCCTGTGTCATTCCTCTTTCCACTGTTCTCTCAAGAGCACTGACTGTCACCCACGCTCTGCTCCACTATCAACCCCCTCCACCCTAGCCCCTCCTGAAACCAGCTCACTGCTTGTCATCACACACTGGAGACCTTCAGGCTCACCCTGTGCCACAGCATCACACTGGGAACTGCTGTTGGATTTCTCAATCAAAAGGCTCAAAAATGTTCTTTAGAAACGTTGTTTTCCACAGTGAGAGTCCTTCTGCAAGCAATCCTTGTCATTTGGCTAATTAGAGTGTGCTTGGATAGGTCCCCACTTACCAAATGACCAAGACAGGGCAGTCAACACTGTTATATTGTCTGTCAAACTTTGTGTATTCAGGCTTTATCAGCAAGTGGTTATACATTTACATCCAGATCCCTGGGGTAACCACCTCAAGATCAACATTGGTCCCTAAGAAACCCCTCTAGAAATACATCTATGCAGTCATGTTCACAGTGACAACTGCTTTTTAATCACTGATTAATTAGCCAGTAGCACTTGTCCTACTGATGTGTTACAGTGCTAATCCTGAATTTGAATACCATGTAGAACAAAATCAAGAACCCCCAAGTGGCTGCCACCTGTATCTAGTTATCTTTATCAAGCAGAATTACAATTTCCTTAAAGAATAAAACTGGATTTGTTTGACTAGATCTTTTTTCAATGCATGAATTGTATTCTGAGATTTTGAATTGCTATGAACTTAATCCCCCATCAACATTTCATTATTCCAGCTGGAACTGACACCAAGTTATCTTTGGACTGCAGTTACTAAGCTCATCCCACTTACTTTTCAATACTGGCAAAATATTAGCACATTTTCAGTCTATCACAAACTTGTACTACTGGGCAGATGTTTCACACACAATTATTTTCTTTAATCATTTCAAGGTAAAAATCTTCTTGCCCACTGATGTACAGACATTTTTAATTTGCAGATGCTGCCAGTGTCAGGGATCCTCTGCATCCCTGCGCAGTCACACAGGCATCCTTGGTGGCTCTTCTTCACCCCCAGCACCACCTTAAGGGTCTGCAAACCAGCTCCACTCCCAGCCCCTGACTCCCAACACTGCTGAGGGCTGAGCCAGGCAGGTGGATTCCCCCCTGCTGCTCTCCCAGCACTGACCCTGGGGCAGGTGGATTCCCCCCTGCTGCTCTCCCAGCACTGACACTGGGGCAGGTGGATTCCCCTCCTGCTGCTCTCCCAGCACTGACCCTGGGGCAGGTCCTGCAGGGCTCAAGCAGAGCAGCTCGGGGAGCCAGGGGCAGGAGCAGCAGAGGCTGCCAGGCAATAACCTCCTCCCAGAAGGGTTGGGTTGTACAGCACTTGTTCAGCTGCTCAAAACCAAGCAGCAACACTGCAGAGGAGGTGACTGGAGTGGGCAGTTGACCCTAAGCTAGTCACAGCCCCACAGTTTTGTGGGAGGACCTGCAGGCACAAGACTTTCCAAATCTCATTCAAATGTACAGCCTATGTGACCCGAAGGTGTGATGATTAACAAGGGTGAGAACACAATGGTGTGTTTGGCATGCAAACAAATTAACTGCCTCCTTGAGAAGGACACAATAAGCTTCTGACAGTAGTTAACCAGTCAGGTAACATGGGACAGAGGGGATACCCCAAGGCACAGCAGGGTAACTGGAGGCAGGCTGACCCCCCACCCCGGCTGTCACTGGCTCAGGCACACTGGCTGCAGCTGCCCTTTTATCCCAGTAAAGGAACTGGGAGCACCACCAGCTGTCCCTGAACAGCACAGAGCCAGCATTCCACTTTGCCAGGGAACTACTGCAGATACCTGCTTCTTCATGTAATTTTTCTGACACTGTGCACAAACCCCTCATTTATCTGATTACCTGAATATCAGCCTGAGGGCTAATTTATCTTTTTGGTTCAAAAACCTCAATGATATCAGCACAGTTATGTCTTGTAAATAGATTCTGTGTTTGTGGTTTTCCAAGAGGATTCTCCAGTGCTTAGCTGACACTCTTGCCAAGCTACGAAGCATGGAAATGACACACAACACATCTCCATGTCAAGCCTGCAGTTAGATGTGTGTGCTAAGGCATTAAGCATGAGCATTAAGCTAAATTATACAAAAACAAAGCATTAATGCCTGTGTAAGGGACATTAAGGAATTTACTACCTCTCAGGTTTACTTGCAAGCATTCTTAATATTTTTCCAAATGTTTTTGTCTACATTAAATGTTACTTTGCTAAGAAATTGTGCTGCACTTTCTTTCCAAATTAGTCAGCATTAGTTATAATAGCAGCATTCGTGCTTGCATTCAGAAGAGCTTGTGCAGCTTAAGCATGTAATACTTTCTAAATAGACTTTGTGGGGAAAATATAGCACAAGATCCCTAAATTTAGAAGTCCACGTGCAGGTAACTAGAGTCCCATTAGAGCCAGTGGGAATGTCCACAGTGACAGTCAGTGGAGCCCCAGAAATGCTGCAGGTCACTTAGAATAAACACTTACCCGTGACCACCTGAAACCCAGCCCAAGGCAAAGCCAACCACAAATGTAAATACAGAGTTAATGCAGTTAATTTCTGCTCTAGTTAATTTTCTGGAACAGAACATGGTATAGATTATCCTCCATGCTCATCACACCAGTGAGGTCCACGCAGGCACAGTCGTTTGCTGCCAAAACACACAGTTGTGTTCCAATCTCTCCAGTAACTGTAAATTAAATAAAATATCAAACTCTTCAGTCTCATATCCAAAGATCCCTGTGATTTTCCCTCTGTAGCTACACAACTGGCTTTCCTTCTGTTCCTGCAATTCCCTGTAACTGTTATTTAAAAGAAATTTTCATCAACAGGGTTGGAGAAGAGGGAAGCTGTTCCAGGGCTCTGGCAGATGTGGCAGAGCTCTCCAGCAGAGTCACGAGCAACTAAAACCCAGAGGCATTTACCTCAGCCCTGGGTTCTCACTGAGTAAACACACTCAAATTCCTGTGCTTTCACTCCTGGAAGGGAAATGGGGAAAAAAAAGGGGAGGGGGACAGGAGGCATCAATATTTGTGGTGCCTACAGAGTCTGCAATGGAGCATAAAAGTCCTACACGCTTATGTAAACATATCTGTGTGCATATATCTATGTATGTAAATAGAGATTATACAGCTCTGAACAAGAAGAGAAGGAGGTGGCTACCTCCAGGTAGGGGACAGGAGTGTCTGGGTTCAGGGGGTACTCCCGCAGCAGGCGCTCCTCATCCAGGAACTTCCCAGCCCTGCCGTTGAAGGCCGGCTGGAACAGCCCGTAGTTCAGCACATCCTTCAGGCTGTGGTTCAGCGTGCACAGGATGCGCTGCTTGGAAACCCACACCGGGACGTCGGGATTCAGCCGGAGACACTTCTGTGGAGAGACACAGAGGGCAGTCAGAGCAGGGCAGCACCAAGGTCCCGTGCCCCACAGATGCACCCAGGAACCATCCCTGTAAGAAAGAGAAGGTTGAAATGGGAAAGCCATAATCTTTTCCATGACAGCAGATTATAGGAAGGGGGAAAAACAAAGTTAGAGAAGGATGAGCCTGAGCAGATCCCCCTAATGCATTTTGTGGAGCTCAGGGAAGGCACAAACCCTGTATGTGTTAACATCCTATAAAATATGAGAAGTGTCACAGAATATTTTATGGCCTAGTAACAGAACGATAGTAAAATTTCACTGAAAAATCCCTGATAGGGTGTTAAGAGTCTATTGACTTCCCCATCACAGACTTCACAGGTGTGCAAAGAACCATGAGCAGTAAGCCCTGCCAGGAGCTGGAGGCATCTGGTGATATCTTCCCAGTGGGAGAAGAAGACCCCCCGTGCCTGCCCCCGTGCATGGAGAGCCACCCTTCCCACCCCCCCCGTGTGACCACAGAGGGGTTCCCTGGCACCAGAAGCAGCTTCCTGTCCTCCACAGGACAAGTCCTGCCTTCAGTCTTGTTCCAGTGCTTCATTCCACAGCCACAGCCTATCAGACCCATCTAATGCTCCTGGTTTTTGTGCTGGAAGGCAAAGTGAACAACCAGCCGCCCTGTCTCTGCGGTGTTCCCTGCACAGCCACTGCTTTCCCAGGCTGAGTCCTCCTCCACTCATCACACAGAGGTACTCCAGCCTCTGCCCACCCTTGCTGTTCCCTCAGAACTCATCATCACCCTTGCAGTGGGGGACTGGAGGTGCACATCATGTCCAAGGAATCAACACAGCAGCATAAGCACGTTCTGTCTGTGAGGGTGTTGAACAGTTGAGGCCTGAACCACAGAAACCCAGACTGGTTTGGGCTGGAAAGAATCTCAAAGCTCACCCAGTCCCACCCCTCCATGAGCAGGGACACCTCCCAGCAGCCCAGGCTGCTCCAGCCCCATCCAACCTGCCCTTCAACACCCCCAGGGATGGGGCAGCCACAGCTTCCCTGGGCAACCTGGGCCAGGCTCTCCCCACCCTCACAGCCCACAATTTCTCCCTCCCATCTCAGCTCCAGCTCCCTCTGCCAGCTGGAAACCCTTCCCCCTGCTCCCATCCCTCCCTGCCCTTGTCCCAAGCCCCTCCCCAGCTTTCCTGGAGCCCCTTCAGGCACTGGAAGCTGCTCTCAGGTCTCCCTGGAGCCTTCTCTTCTCCAGGCTCAACACCCCAACTCTCCCAGCCTGGCTCCAGAGCTGCTCCAGCCCTCCCAGCATCTCCGGGGCCTCCTCTGGACTCTCTCCAGCAGCTCCGTGTCCTCCTCCTGTTGGGGACCCCAGAACTGGACCAAAACATCTATTTGGACTTCAGACAGATGGAGCAACCTGACCCCACCTTCTCCATGTGCTCAGTGGCTGCAATGGACCCGCAGTGCCAGAGCTCCTGGTATCACCACACCACATCCCCACCAGACTGGGAGATGGACACTCACCCTGGGCATCAGCACAAACTGCATCATCCTCATTCACCCCTTCAGCCCTACTTCTAAGTTCAAAATGTAACTTCAGGGCCTCTTTTAGTCCCTTGTCCCTTTAAAAGCACCTTTTTTGTTACGTGAATTAAACGGGCACTGGTTTAAAAAATTTCAAGAGCTTTGCCCAGAGAGCAGGAAATGCCCCTGCCAGGCAGGAGCCCGCCGAGCTGCCGGGCACACCCCCAGAGCAGCCTCTGAGATGATGTTCCAGCTCATTTTTCCCAGGCATGGATAACGTGCACGTGGCTGCCTGCATTTGTCCTGCTCACAGAGGTCAGGAATATCGATTCCATCGCTGGCCACACCAGCCTGCTCATCCCCCAGGGCTTGTCCTGCTGCAGGCACTAAGGAAGAGGCGGCTGCTGCTCTGAGGAATGAGGAGTTCAAAGCCTTGGAGAAATGTCAGTCTGTGCTCCTTCACTCCTCAAAGAGAAACAGAATACACATCACTCTTTCAGGACCCATAAATAAAAAATAAACACAGTCTGTGCTTTCCTACGTGCTTGTTTAGCCTCTAGGACTCACTGTCAAATTACGTTGTTCAGTATTAAAGTTGTAGTTAATGGGGGGAAAAAGCAGTAGCAGGGATGCACATGTGCAGGAGCACAAACATTGGGTGAAGGAAGATCTCGGCATAAAACTCACTGATTTTCATACCAAACTCTCTACTGCAGAGACACCCTCTGGGGAGCATTAACATTTCATATTTAAGTGAGAAAACAACTTCCACCCTGCAGTGTGTCTCTTTCTGTCTTTAACCTGCATCAAAAATCAGAAGGAAAAAATGTCTGCTTCAGCTGTCAGGTCAAAACACTGCACAGCCCCTCGTGGGCACCATCCAGCTACTCCAGTGTCTCCCGTGACTGCTCCTCCAAACACCATCTCATGCGTTAATGACTTTCTCGTATCAGACATCCTGCTCTTTCCACTGTGTGCAGCACAGCCCCTCCTGGAGAAATTAAAAAGCAGGAGGCTAATCCCACAAACCCCTGCCAGGAGGGATGTCTCTGTGCACCTCTGAAGCCTGCAGGGATCAGCAGGGAAAGCTGCTCTGGGTCCAGGGGGACCGGGCTCACTTTGCTCGGGAGCCACAGCAGCGAGGGCACCTCCGCTGCCCTGTCCATCCCCCCAGGGATGCGTGGCTGTCCTCTGGCCTCCTGTGCAGCTGGGGCAGCCCCAGCAGTTCCCACAGCAGCACGGGGCTGACCCCGGGCCCCACAGGGCTGGGCTGCCCGCGCTGTGGGTGACATCCCAGGCACTGACCCTGTCTCTGTTGGGAAGAGGAGCTGAGCCAGGACAGCGCGGGGCACCTGCGAGCAGGGCAGGGAGACCCAGCCGCGAGACTGCGCTGCAGGGCAGCTCACACGGGGGGACAGCTTCCAACCCTGAGGGGCTGGATGCTCAAGTCAATATTATTATAACTATTTGGGGCAATCCCCAGCACAAATCCAGGCTGGGTGGAGCATGAATGGAGAGCAGCCCTGAGGGGAAGGACTTGGGGGTGTTGGTTGAGGAGAACCTCACCATGAGCCAGCACCGTGCGCTGGAGCCCAGAAACCACCTGTGTGCTGGGCTGTCACCAGCAGCATGATCAGCAGGGCCAGGGAGGGGATTGCCCCCTCTGCTCTGCTCTGGGGAGACAGCACTGCAGGGCTGGGTCTGGTTCCGGGGTATCCAACACAAGAAGAACATGCAGTTGATCCCAGGGAGCTCCACAAGAACACAGGGCAGCAGAGCCAGTCCTACATGGCACCCAGCACGGCACAGCGCCCGCAGAGTCCAGCTGGGGTAAGTCCTGGAGCTCCCAGGCTGCCTCTGAGGAGGGCAGGGTGGGAGCAGCTTTCAGAACAAGCTTTCAGAGCAAGTTGCTCACTCGGGTTTGCAGTTACGAGCAATAATTTCTCCCATACAATTACAAGCTCTGATCACAACAATCAAAGCCTTAGGAACAACTCCTGAAAGAAAATGGTACAGCTTCTCAACTTTTAGACAGCATGCACGACTCCTTCCTGAAGGAAGAAAGAGCTCAGAGCTTCAGATTCAATCCTCAGCAACACAGGATGACAGACAAGATCTATTCAAGAGCTACCCTGCAATAATGATAATAAAGAACTCACATTCAACAATCCCTAAAGAGCCAAAAACCCAAAAATTCTTCATCGAAGAGCACACAAATGAGAAAGAGTTGAAAGGAAATTAAAAAGCAGCAGCTGAAAAGGTAACGTGCTTGCAGGCAGCAGGGAGTGTATTTCATAATCTCACATTAGAAGCTCTGAGCAAATGTATGGCAAAAACCAAAAAACAGCCTCTAAGAGGCCCCTATAGAAAGATGGGAGCAGCCAAACCAACAGAGCAGAGGAATCTATCGAAAGTAAAGATTTCCTTTAGAGAATGGGAGTTGCCTCCGAACGGGAAAAGAAAGGAGCACAATCCTGCCACACCACATGCAACATGACCATGGCATGGAATTCATCACAGCTGACCAACCAGGGAAGGGGGGGGAGGCCAGCAAGCCACTGAGGCATGGGAGAGATCCAAAGGGGAGTCTGAGCTCCCCCCGTGAGGACCAGCCGTGGGATGGGCTCCCTGTTGGTCACAACACAGGCCAAGGCAAACGGTCTCACAGAGGAGCAACAGAAGCTCCCCGTTGGAACCATGAGCAGAGCAGACTTGAGAGCACAACTGCAAGTGTTGCCCATCACCAGCACAACGCTGGCTCCGCTCTGCACCGCAGCCTGCAGCCCCCCCAGGAGCAGAGCACGGGCAGGAGACCCCGATACCCAGGAGTGGCTCTGGAATTCTGCCATGTTCTGGGCCCAAGGGCCTGGCCTCTGTCCTCAGGGCATGGACAGGCATCATGACAAACACCTACGATGCCACTCTCTGTGGAGTCACAGCTCATGCCTTAGGAGGAGAGGCTGGAGGAAGCCCACACCGAGCAGACCAAGGCTGGCCTGCTTACCAATACACACACATTCCCAAAATGGTCCCAGCCAAGTCCCTTGCTGCCCTGAACGAAAGTGCCAGAAGCAAGAAAGCACTCTTTTGGATCCCTAACCAACAAGGACAGCAGTAAACAAAGGTGAAGGTCAAGCAGGCAGGTTTCCTGACACAGGAGGGAGCCCATCAGCAGTGACGTGGGGCTGTGCTGGGATCGGGGCTGCAGTGATGCAGAAGGGGCTGCTGTGACACTCACAAACTGGCAGCACATCCAGATCATCACATCACGTGCAGGTCCGGTGGCCTTGTCCTTCAGGAAACAACAGAAACAGGAAAAAGGTAAAGGGAAAGAAGACAAAGGTGACCAGAGGCACCGAGCGTCCTGGACACCTGCACCACATCTGAGCTTGGAGGTGGAGCATCCCAGAGGAGTGTCCCAAAGGAGCATCCCAGGGGAGTGTCCCAGAGGAGCGTCCCAGAGGAGTGTCCCAAAGGAGCATCCCAGGGGAGTGTCCCAAAGGAGCATCCCAGAGGAGTGTCCCAGAGCAGCATCCAAGAGGAGTGTCCCAGAGGAGTGTCCCAGAGGAGCGTCCCACAGCACCAAGCCAGGCACTTGCACCCCACCTGCAGCAGCTCCTTGGAACACTGGGACTGGGACAAAGGTACAGGAACAGATGCTGTGTGCAAAACAAACAAGCCCAGGAAACCTTTCCTTAAAAGATTATGTTTGTTTTTCTCCAATTATACATTCTTTTTCCCAGTTACTCATTAAAAGCAGCAGTGGCAGCAGCAGCAATCTGGGCCAGATGCCACTGGTCCCCTGCAGTGTGTGAAATCTCACAGGATCCTCCTGGCCTGGCTCACACACCACTGGGAGAAGGGATTAGAACCAGAAGACAGTCCTGACCAGGAATCACCCCAAGCACTCCCACCAGCAACCCCACAGCCCCATCAGCCCTGGGGGGCAGAGCAGGGGAGCCAGCAGCAGCCCCCACATGTGGACAGCCCTGGGCCAGGGACCACAGGTTGGGCTGAACATCAACATTACAGCTTGTTTCCCTTCATCACCCTGGTCAAGGGAAGGAACTGGGCTCTGCAGGGCCCAGGGCAGAGCAACCACCACTGGGTGCTAGTGAAAGGCAAACTGGGACCAGCTTAGAGAGCACATTGTGTGTGCTGGCAAAACAACAGGAATTTCTGGGCTTAGGTCACCTCCTGAGGAAAGCTCTGGCCCTGCCATCCGCTGTGCTGAGCACTACACTGGGAGAAGCTGCCTCCACCAAAAGGAAACAAGATAAAGAGCAGGAGGGAGGTTCTCAGCTCCCAGCAGGAAAGCACCCGGTGCACAAGCCCTCCTTGCAGTTCCGTGCTGGTTCTATGTGCTTTGGCTCTATGGGTTTTCCAGAGAAACGGCTGCTCCTTATGAGTCAGTCTGGAAGGATGTTGCTGTTGATCCATTCCCAGAATCCATTGCCTGAGCCAGGAAGCCACCCAGTTACCTCTATCTAAAGCAGAAGAGTCCAAGAGCCCCCCTATTACAACTCTTCAGTAGCACTGACAGCACCAACCAGCTCCATCCTGCAGTCCCACCAGTCAGCGCTTTCAGAGGAGCAGCTGCCTCTGATACAAACGCAGCTTGAAATGAATGTTTAAAGAGATTCAGCTCCTGATTAACTCTAAGTGACTGGTTCAGGCAAAACCTCCCTCTTACACAGAGCTGCAACAGCTTTGTTACTGGCCACCTGCATGGAGAGGGCTGCTGAACATCAGAATCACCAGCCAGTTTTGTCCAACCGCTGAACTCTGCAGAGAGAAAAGACAGCACAGGGGGAAATGCAAAAGTGTGGGACCTGCAAATCAGCCTGAGCCCACCAAAGAGCCCAAGCCAGCTTAAAGAGTTTACTGTTACCTCCAGAGATCTAGGAATGTTTCCCATTTGGCTCACTGCAACATCACCACTCCAGCCACTTGTCTAACTTCTGATCAGTCAGCAAATGAGGACCTGGGAAGCTTGAGCTCTGTCTAGGGCTGACAAAAAGCCA